TGTCAACGTTTGCCGACTTCTGTGTCCTGCCCAGTGCATGTAGCAAACTTTCAAAGAATCTTCCTTCTGTTCCCCCCTCCCCCCGGCGGTGTACTTCTTTACAAGTACCTCCAGTGGTTAGAGTTCTCAAACAAAGAAAAAAAAACTAGGAGGTTTTGAAGCTTGCAATGAATTTGTCCCAAAACAAAGAGGCAATTGAGAAAAAGGAAGGAAATCTTGAGCAAGGAGAAGATGAGAACAAGGACTTGGAGACTCAAGTGCGACTTAAAGCTGTTACTGGATGCCGATCCTGAGGTAGCTAGCAAGCTTAACACTAAAGACAAGAGTGCACTTTCCTTGGCTTGCAGCCATGGCCACCTTGATATGGTGAAGCTCTTGCTCAGTGAGCCTGGGATGCTTGGTTCAGGCAAAGATGGATTTGATCAAACATGTATCCATGTGGCTGTTTCTGGTGGGCAAATAGGTAAGTAGCAAAGTTCTCTCTTACAAGCTTAATTGCATTTTTTTTTTAAAACCCAATTTCTTAATTTGCTTTAGCTTAATTTTGGTTTCTATGTATAATGAAATAAGTATTTCTGGTGCAGATGTTGTTAAAGAGTTGCTCGGAGTGCGTCCTGACCTTGCTAGTATGGTTGACGAGAATGGAAATTCGCCGTTGCACTACGCAGCCAGCAAAGGACACAGAGAGATAACCTGGATGCTCCTGAGGCTCGATCCAAAACTTGCTGAGCAACACAATAACAATGGTCACACACCACTGCACTTGGCAGCAATAAATTACAAAGTTTCAGTCCTTCAATTGTTTGTGTCCATGGCTAAACCATCTTTCCAAATTGTCACAAAAGCCGGAGAGATGGTATTTCACTTGGCTGTGAGATATGGCCGATATGATGCCTTGGTGTACTTGACCCATGTCTGCAACGATATCGAGTTCTTTGATTGTCGAGATATTTACGGCAACACCATCTTACATCTTGCAGTTTCTGAAGCACAACATAAGGTCAGATATGCATCCAAATCCTTATAGACTTTCTTGCATCGCAAGCTATTACATATACTAGTTACAACCACATAACCTTACAAGTCATATACAAATGATAAACACTTCAACAGAAGAACTTGTAGTTTATGAAAAGTGCTGTCTCTGCCATGCCAGTCTTTTGATTTTAATGTTTGTGTGGTCTTTTCCCTTGGTAATATTTTGGAAATGATTTATGGTTCCATCCAATACTAAGTTTTGAATTTGTTGGAGAAACAAAGATCTAAGTGGCGTGTGCCTCCTGTTCTTTACAAGTATAGGCAGCAAAATTCTTGCATCAGATTTTTTATGCCCGTCCAAACATGGCTTTTAACTAACTTGATATTTTCTCTTGTCCCAGATAGCAGAGTACCTAATCAGCAAAAAAAAAGTGGCACTTAATTCTCGGAACAATAAAGGAATCACAGCACTTGACATCCTCAATGAGGCCAAGGACAGTGTAGAAAATCAGCGTCTTGGAGCTATGCTTGTAAAGTCAGGAGGTGAAACGAGGATTGAGCTGTTATCTCATTCACCAAAAGTAGAAACAGCCAGTGCTCAGTCAGTAGTACTTGAAAACATGCAGAAAAGAGCTCAATTTGTTAAAGAGCATGAATTGCAGTTAGCCATTATAAATGAAGTAGCTTCTCCTGCATCCAAGACCCCATCTAGTTTATCACCACCCAAGTCTAGAAAGCCATCTAATTTGCCATCACCTCAATCTAGCAAGTCATCGCCTAAGCTGCCATCTCCGCAATCTAGCAAGTCATCACCTAAGCTGCCATCTCCACAATCTGGCAAGTCATCACCTCAACATCAAGTTGGGGAGGGATTTGATTTTGAAACACAAAATGCAGAGCCCTTGTTGCCAACCATTGTGAGGCAACACAAGCATCCTAGCAAGAGGCACCAGACCGAACTGAGTCAGATTTTCTATAACCCGCGAAGGAAACATCATAAGGTATATACAGAGGCACTACAAAATGCCAGGAACACTATAACACTAGTTGCCATTTTGATTGCAACGGTTACTTTTGCTGCTGGTATCAGCCCCCCTGGTGGTGTCTATGAGGACGGATTAATGAAGGGGAAGGCAATTGCAGGTAGAACAACTGCTTATAAGGTCTTTGCAATAAGCAATTATGTTGCATTGTTCACATCGCTGGCGATAGTCGTTGTTTTAGTAAGTATCATCCCGTATCGGAGAAAGCCATTGATAAGACTAATGGCGTATGCTCACAAGGTCATGTGGGTAGCCGTGGCATTCATGGCGACAGCTTATGTTGCAGCAACATGGGTGATCATGCCGCATAGTCAGAAGAAAGAAGTGGTGCTTGTAGCTTTATTGGCTGTGAGCATTGGCACTCTCGGAACAGTTTTTATTGGTCTAGGTGTAATGCTAGTTGATC